GAGGGATGTGGCCAAGGTTTGTGGGCCTCTGCCGCACTTTGGTGGTGGGAAAATGAATTCCCCAGGGAAGATGAATCTGAGCCAGCTGGGCTGGGTCTGGGTGGCCCAGAAACCTTGGTCACACTGTTGGCACAGCCTTTGCAGTCACGTTGCTCACAGTGAACACAGAGTCACTCCCCGGGGAGCCCTTTCTTGGCCTTTCTTAGGGTGCTCAGGGCCCCTGAATCTCTGGGAGGGACAGGAGGGTCAGCGTGAGGAGACTGCGGGGAAGGAGGGCAAGGAGCCAGACCCCTGGGGCGTCCTCCCTTCCACCAAGAGAGCCCTCCGGGCCAGGAAATGGGGCAATGGGAAGAGCTGGGTTTCTGCAGGGCCCACGCTGGGGAGCAGAGTGGCCTGGGGTGGTGCTGAGCTGCGGGCAAGACCACAGCCACGAGATTAAACTGCCTCAGCCGAGGTCTCTGGAAGTTCCTGTTGCTCCCTGCTCCGTCTGTCTGGAAAGGCCTGTCCGGAAAAGTGGTAGCTTTTCTCGATTGCTTCCTCCTGGCACCCTTCCTGAGGAGATTCTGAAAGTGGAGTCGGGGGGATTGTTCTGGGGAAAGGTCAAAGGCCGGTCAGCGCCCTGCTTTTGAGAGCCTTTGGAATGTCTGGATGTTGTGGCTGGGATGGAAGAAGCCGCATGCCAGGGCAGCACAGTCACCTCCCCGAGGAAGGGCTTTCCCTGCGTGCAGGTGCCCCGTGAATTCCCCCCAAACTGGGGCCCTCGGAGCAGCTGCCCTTGGGGACCCCCCTGGCACACAGGTGTGGTGCTGTGGGGCTCCCGCTTCCTGGGTGTGGGTGAAGGGATAACATCAGCCTGTCTGAACCAGCATGTTTTCTGGGGAGTCTCTGGCAAGTCCACTCACCGGAGCGCTCACCCCCAGTGTCCCCTCCCTCTCCTGCCTTCTCAGCTCACTGGCCTGGGAGGGAGGGCCCAAGGGAGTGTGGCGGACTCTGGGATTCCTCTGTAGGTTCCAGGTGAGTGCCCTTGCGGGCAGATCCTTTCTGAAGGGAGGGTGGGGGGAGCAGGGTCCCATGGCCTCAGTGACAAGAGGCTAGTGCAGATTTTGGGGTGTGTGTGTCATTTTGTTTCTGTGGGGTCAGATCGGGGGGCTTGGTGCTGAGGCACCATGGAGAGGGAAGGATGTGGGCCCAGTCGGCCGTGCTGGGAGCCCACTGGGCCTGCTGCAGCCTGCCCGCCTCCTTACCTGGGAAGGTACTCAGAGGCAGGGCCGTGGAGTCAGGACAGGTGTGGGTGGAGGAAGGGTGTGGATTACGGTTAAAGAAAAAAAAGAGAGAAACTGATCTCTCACCCTCTCCCACCCCTGGATCCTTAAAGGTGTATGTCTGAGCGCTTCTTAGGCTCATCAGAAAGAAAGGTCTTCAGAGACCTTGTCAAAGAGGGCTTCACAGGTGTTGGATTTGAGATAGGGTTTTCTGGAAGACTGATTCACTGATTGGTGACTGGCTGGATTGATTCCTGTTGAAAGACAGAGGAGGTCAAGGCTGGGTGGCACTTGGGGGAACCGGAAACCAGGGTGTGGAAGGACGGGCTGGGTGTGGGAACCTGGCTTGAGGCTTTGGCTGCCGTCTGCCCCCTCACCTCCCCTGGCTTGGGGTGAACCTTACCATACAGGATGGTGCTCGTTGGATAGAAGGAAAGGTCGGACCTGCCCAGAGAGCGTGTAGGCAGGTACTTTTGCTGTCTCTGCGGGAGTTTGAGCTACACACACGATGGTCCTGATCAGTCTCTTAGGGCCGGAATGCAGTCAGATTGAGTGCGATGTCTCTCATCATCACCATCAAGTGGCCCTCCTAACAGTGCTCTTGCGCCCTGCTTTGTTTGTACTCACTGCCCCATTTGTTCTTCAGCCCTCCCTTTGTTGAGCTCTAGTTCTTTTCCAGCAAGTTCTGGTCACTACAGGGCTTCTGTAGTCATACAGGAAATTTGCAGTCTGATCCTGGAGACCTCATGCTTTTCCCTTGTCCTTTCTGCTTACCCATGACCTGCGATCCTGTCACCTGGAATCTGTATTTTACCATGTGGTTCAAACAGGAAAGTGAATGGCCAGAGGTCACAAAGTGGCAGTTCCAGAAATAGCGGTAAGGAATCTTGACTCAGTCCTTTAGAGTGTCATGTTATTAGCTCTGATCTCTCAAGTCTTCATAAGTCTCCCACAGCTTGCGCTGAGGCAAAGCCATAGCATCCAAGGGCTATGACTAATCTTCGCTTGTGGCCCTGGCTGGCATGAAATCCATTAGGGAGGCAGTGGGCAGGAAAGCATGAACGCTGGAGCCTGAGTTCAAATCTAGCCTGTGCCACTTACTGCTTCTGTGGCCACAGTGTCTGCATCTGTAAAATGGGGGTAATAATAGAACCCACCTCATAGGTTGTTACCAGGGATGAGTGACTTTTACTATGTATACAGCACTTTGTTTTAGCCCTTGGAGGATTTGGGCGCTAGTACAGTTTTCAAAATGCGAGCTTAGTTTGCAGGCAGATAGCTATGTTCAACCCAGAGAAAACTTCTCCAGGTAGAAAAGGCTCTTCAGTTTCTGGGCTTGAAGTGTGCTTATGTTGCCACTGTGGGGTCCCCAAAGAGTGGCCCTCAGAAGATCCCCTTTGGAGATAATCTCTCTGACTGTGTGTGTGTGTGAGTTGGGGTGGAGGCTGTAGTGAATCTTTTGCTTTAGGGCTGCGACCTGGCGGGCTGTGAAATGCATTTGGGACTTGGGCCTTTGCCATTTGGCCTCTCCAGAGGAGCTGACTGACCCCAGGTCTGATCTGGGAAAGGTCTTAGGCCAGAAGTCCCTGCCCCATTGTTCCAGCTCTGGGACAGATGGGGATGGGGGTGGGGTGCCTGACTACACTACATGCTTTGAAGGACATCAGAGTGTCCCAGGGCTAGGGGGTAAGGGACGGGGCGGAGCTGGGGTTTTTGTCTTTTTTTGTGCTAGAAATGACTTGGTGCGCCCTGCTGGCTGGTTCTGGGGAGAGCTGTAGCTGATCTATTGTAAAGGCTCTTTGGAGGAGGGAGGAAAAGCAGCAGCGGTATGTCTCCCAGGGGCCTCTCCTGGGATGCTGAGTTTCTCTAAGTGACCCTGTTAATTAGTCAGTGCTCCTCGCCTTGTGCTGCAGAGGGGAACACGGTGCCAGCACTGCCACTGCATCCTCATCTGCAAAATGAGAGGCTTATGTGGAGCACCTCAGAGGTGACCCCCTCTGGGGAGACACAGAGTGACAAAGTGCTGTGCTCCAGAGCACCTGGCTGGGCTAGCGGTGGATCGTCAGCGAGTCTTGACTCACCTAACTTGTAGCTCAGTAAAAGCATCAGTTTGTTCACCATCATTATTCAATTGCCAAATTAGCCCTTAAGACCCCTGCCTGTAAGTAACTTACAGTCTAGAGCAGAGGGTCTCCAAACTAATTACAGTAACTCATGGCGAGTGCTACAGTAGGGGCACCCAGGAGGCTGTAAGGGTACGTAGAAGGGGTCCCGGATTTGCGGGATACGGGAAGGTTCCCAGAGGGGGTGGCATGTAATTCAGGACCCGAAGGTTGGACGTAGTTACATAGGTTGGGGGATGGTTTGGCGTGGGGTGGGTCTCAAGGACATAATGCCAAGGCAAAGAGATTTGCAAAAGCCAGAGTCCCAGATGTGCTGGTTTCCAGGTTGGGCCAGAGGCACAGAAAACGAGGGGCCAATGCCAAGGGTACCAGAGCTTCTAGACCCTTCTTGTAGCTCAAGCCTCTGCCCCTTGGCCATGTCTGTGGTCTCATAGTTTCTGAGCCCTAGAGCTAGGGGTAGAAGACTTGGGTCAGTAGGGGTGAGAAGGATGCCCAGGAACTTTTTTTTCCTCCCTGTGGAAATAACAATTAAATGTGCATTCTGGAAAGTGGTGTTGGTAAGCTCTGGCCCTGTGGGGTGGGCATGGGGTGTCCCTGTCCTTCCCACAGGCCACAGCCTGCAGTAGGTTCTGGCTACCCTCCCTTCCCCCGTCCCTTTGCAGCTCCAGGTGGGCCTGCCTGTGAGCCACTGTCTGCTCAGGGAATAAAGTCCACCTGCGGCTGTGTTTGCCTCACCTGGGTGCAGTTTCCTGCCTTCTGTGCTGCCCTGGCCCAGCTGTGCTGAGGGGAGCCTGCAGAGACTCACCTGTGGCTCAGCGCTGGGGAATGTCCCTGTGCCTGGGGTGAGTCAGGAGTACCAGGTGCTGGGGGTGGGGCAGGGGGTAATGCTGGCTCAGCCTCGCCGCCATCTCCTCTCCCTGTCAGAATCCAGCAGATTTCAGGCTCGTGGTGAAGCCACTGGTGCCTCCAAGGTTTTACAATCCTGGGGCGCATATTACCCTCTGATATGTGTGTTGACCTAACATGGTAAGAAGCAGATCTTTGCTCATCTTGTATGGTGACCCCAGCGCAGGCCCAGACAGGTGTCACTTGAGAGGTGCTTCTCGACAGCTACCGTTATCATCACCAGAGTGATGGTTTGTGGAGCACTTACCCTGTGCCAGGCAGCATGCTCAGAGCCTTACAGACTTGAGGACACAGCCCTGGGGTGGTCATGTCCATCCTCATTTTACAGGTGAGGAGCTGAGGCTCTGGGAGGCTAAGTACTTAGCCCAGGCAGTGGAAATGGACTTGGGCATCCCTGTCAATGCTCACAGAGTCTGAGGAAAGGGCTTTTCTTGGGATTCAGCTCTGTTTTGTTTTGTTAGTTGTGGTAAAATACACATAGCGTAAAATTTGCCATTGCAACCATTTTTGGATATACAGCTTGATGACGTTAAATACGTTCACATTGTTGTGCAACCATCGTCCCCATCCATGGAACATTTTCCATCCTGTAACACTGAACTCTGTACCCAGTGAACAATAACTTCCCATCCCGCCCTCCCCTAGACAGCCTTCTACCTTCTGTTTCTGTGGGTGCTCCGATGTCGACCCTTTGTCTGTTTTGCTGCAGAATCTCCCTGGGGTGCCCACCCCAGGCAGCAATGCCAGGATGCCCGTGTCTGCCTCCCTCCGCCAAGAAGGCAGCCAGGAGCGGCCAGTGAGCCTGACGTCCACCAGCTCCTCATCAGGCTCTTCCCGTGACAGCCACAGTGCCATGGAGGAGGCCAACGGCTCCGAGGCTCCTGCCGAGAATGGGGCAGGCTCCCCGAGAGGCCGGCATCCCCCCAACAGCAACAACAACTCCAGCAGCTGGCTGACCATGAAGGGACCCCTGTCCCCGTTCAGCAGCCGGGTGGCGGCAGGGTCTGTGCACCACAAGCTCAGCTACCTGGGCCGTGTGGTGCGGGAGATTGTGGAGACGGAGCGCATGTACGTGCAGGACCTGCGCAGCATCGTGGAGGTGAGTGCCTGCTGGAGTCTGCGGGGGCCTGGCCATCACCTCCCAGGGAGGGGCCCTTGGGCCTCCAGTGGCCCAGCTCTCTAGCGTAAACCTGTTTTCACCCCAGGAAGGAGAGTTCTCAGATCTGCGTCCCGTGGAGCAGTGGGGAGGCCTCAGGTCTCCAGCCCTCGCTTCCCTGCCCTGTGGAAGCTGTTGACTCTTCACACGTCCTTGTGACATTGGGCCAGATCAGTAGGCAGGGCTGGTAGAACTTTCTGCAGGTGCCCAGGGAGTAAGCACCGTTGACAGGGAGAAGAGGGACCCCAGCCTACCTGGGAAGGTGACTCTGGAGAGACTGTGCCCCATTGGGACCGAGCGCAGTGAAGAAATGGGCTCTGGGCTGGCCCGTTGCATCCAGAGCGTCACTCTGTTGCTTACTGGCTGAGGGTCTCGGGCACGTGGGTAACTCCCTGCGGCTCAGGTTCCTCCTCTGTAAAACGAAGACACACCACCTTGCAGGGCTGATGTAGGCAAAGTGTTTGACACTGTGCAGGGCACACAGGGAAAGGCAGCCGTGTGGCCACCGTGGAGGAAGCCCCCTGCCTTGCTGGGGAGAGATGTGTATTAGATGGCTAGGGCTGCTGTAAGAAATCACCACAAACCAGGAAGCTTAAAACAACAGAGATTTATTCTTTTAGTTCAGGAGGCCAGAAGTTCAAAATCAAGGAGTTGGCCTGGTTGGCTCCTTCTGGAGTCCCTGAGGGCGAATGCGTTCTGTGCTGCTCATTTAGCTTCCGGTGGTTGCTGGCAGTGTTTGGCGTCCTTGGCCTGGAGATGCATCATTCCAATCTCTTCCCGTCACCTTCTTCGTGTCTTTCTGTGTCTTTCTGTGTCTTTCCTCTTACGAGGACACCGGTGGATTTAGGACCCACCCTAAATCCCATGTGATGTCATCTTGAGATCCTTAACTAATGACATCTGCAAAGACCCCATTTCCAAATAAGGTCATATTCTAAGGTTCCTAGTGGACATGAATTTTGGGGTGGACAATGTCCAGCCCAGCACCGTAGGTGACATCTGTGAAGTGGTGTCATAGTAGTGCAGAAACGAGGTGTGGCTAGAGGTGGGGGGCAGAATCGTGCCAGCAGGGGCTAGGTTCTGACTGCCTGTCTCCATGCAGGACTACCTCTTAAAGATCATTGACACACCTGGGCTGCTGAAGCCAGAACAAGTCAGCGCCCTCTTTGGGAACATAGAAAACATCTATGCACTGAACAGGTATGTGTGTGGGCCTGACACTCACCATACTCTGCCTGAAAGGCCCACTTTGGGGTCTGGGGAGGAGCCCTGCATGTCCCTGGACTCGTGGGCTGTCTTGTGGGCCTGGGGCCTGATCTCTGAGGATGGAGGAGGGTGGACCACCCCCGTGCGATGACGTAGTTAGCTCCTTGTAAGAGGGAGGGCACCAGCCAGGAAGATGTGTGCTGGGCTCGATGTGTTTCCTCTTAGGTGGGGGCAGATAATTTGAGGGCGTGTGCGTGTTGGATCCAGCCTGGGCCAGTGCCCTCCTGGGACTGCTGGAGGACTGCTGGACCCTTGCACACCGATGCTCTTCTCTGTGGGTGGCGCCTTTGTCCTTTTCACCTTCCTTCCCTCCGTGCACATCTCTTAATTTCTTTTCCTCCTTCCCACTGACTCCAAAGGAAGCTGGGGCTCCCTGGAGATGATCTGACCTCTTAGTGGAATGCACAGGCCAGCAGGACCGATGAGGGAGGCTGAACAAGGCCTGGCCAGGGGGTGTCTCAGGACAAAGAGGACTTCTTGAGGGCCCAGGTCTGCTGCTTTGGGACCATAGACTCCCCAGGGAAAGGACAGTGGCCAGGCAGAGCAGAGCTTGAGGGGCAGCATTGGTAGGACAGGAGGGATCTTATCCCTGAAGGTGGACAGAGAGACCTCCCCTGTGTAAGTGGGAGAAGTCTGGGAGGGCAGGGAACAGGCAAGACTTAGGCCAATGGTGGGGGGTTGGGAAAAGAGGGGGAGCACAGATGGAAGAGGCAGGGGAGCACCGTTTCTAGAGTTTCCTAGAGCAGCCTCTACTAATAAATAACAAGGGGTACTGGGACTCACCTCTCTCCCTGCTTCCTGCATCCTTCTGAACTGGGAGCCTTGGTTCCTTCACTAGTCTCCTCTCTTTCTTGTTCCCCTTTAATCTCTGCTTCTGTGTGTTTGACTCTTCCTGCTCACAGAGGAGCTGGTTCCCCTCCCAGGTGGGTACTGGGGCCTCTGTCCCTCCTGCTTGCCGAGCCGTGGGTCTCCTGGCTTCCTGACGTTGTGGTGGTGTGGATTCTTCCTGTGGTTGCTGCCTGGGGCAGGACTTACTCTGGGTGGAAGCCCGGGCTCTGTAGCGTGACAGCTTGCCGTGAGGGGGATGCAGAGGGGGCGTGCTCTGACTGTAGAGGGTACAACGGCCGTCTCCCTCCACCCAGCCAGCTACTCAGAGACCTGGACAGCTGTAATAGTGACCCCGTGGCTGTGGCCAGCTGCTTTGTGGAAAGGGTAAGAAGGTCTGGGTCCTTCCCAGGGGAGTGCGGGGTGTCCTGTGCCCATTCTGGTGAAGGGTGTTCTGGGGCGCAGCCAGGGCTGCCGGGTGGATGGGATGTCCTAGCCAGATGGGTACAAAGATGGATCTGCAGGCACTCGGGGGAAGCAGGACAACATGTGCTCTGTAGGCCAGGGGCCTATGTGACACCACTGTCTTTACAATCAAATGGGCATCTCCCTAAAATCACTATTTTTCGTCTCTCCTTAGAGCCAAGAGTTTGATATCTACACCCAGTATTGCAACAACTACCCCAAGTGAGTAATTGGGGGATGTGGGGAGCAGAGCCATTTGGGGAGTCCAGAGTCCCCCTCCTCATTCGGGCCTTCCCCAGGTGGTGACGCCCCTTCTTCCCACTTGCAGCTCAGTGGCCGCCCTGACGGAGTGTATGCGGGACAAGCAGCAGGCCAAGTTCTTTCGGGACCGGCAAGAAGTGCTGCAGCACTCGCTGCCCTTGGGCTCCTACCTGCTGAAGCCAGTCCAGCGCATCCTCAAGTACCACCTGCTGCTCCAGGTGGCCCAGAGGTCCCCCCACCCCCAGCACATGGGTGGGAGGGGGTGGGGTCTTCGAGTCGGGGTCACCTAAACCCCTGTCTCCCATGCAGGAAATTGCCAAACATTTTGATGAAGAAGAGGATGGCTTCGAGGTGGTGGAGGATGCCATTGACACCATGACCTGTGTGGCCTGGTACATCAATGACATGAAGAGGAGGCATGAGCACGCAGTCCGGCTGCAGGTGCTGGGGCTTGTGGGAGGAGATGCAGGGGCCGGTGGGCCCGGGCCTGGGAGAGAGGGAATGAGGCCACCCTGCTGGGACAAGCCCAGAGGTGGTCTCTTGGGGTCTGCGTGAGCCTCTGGGGCCTGGGGGGCCTGACCCTGGGGGTCTGGGCCTCTCTGCTGCAGGAGATTCAGTCGCTGCTCATCAACTGGAAGGGGCCAGACCTGACCATCTATGGGGAGCTCGTCCTGGAGGCCACATTCCGCGTGCACCGCGTACGCAATGAGAGGACCTTCTTCCTCTTTGACAAAACATTGCTCATCACCAAGAAGCGGGGTGATCACTTCGTGTACAAGGGTCACATCCCGGTAACCAGGCCGTCCCATCTCCTGCGCCGTCTTCTCCTCTTGCCCTGCCTCCGCCCTCGGGTCCCAGGCCCTTATGCATGACTCCCTTTCCCTCTGCCCCAGTGCTCCTCCCTGATGCTGATCGAGAGCACCAGAGACTCCCTGTGCTTCACCGTCACCCACTACAAGCACAGCAAGCAGCAGTACAGCATCCAGGTGAGGGTGGGGCTAGGGAACAAGACCCCAAGGACACCTGTGTGTGACTCCTGGCTCCTGTGCTCACCTGGCTGCCCCGAGCCCCAGCATCTCCATCTGTAAAGCAGGGGCCGTTGCAGGCACCCCTCAGCATGGGAGGAGTCAAGCCAACCTCACAAAGGCCCCAGTAGAGCCCCTCTTTCCAGCTCTCCCCCCTGGGCATAATGACCCTAGGTCCCTTTCCCTTGGACCTTCCCAGGCCAAGACGGTGGAGGAGAAGCGGAGCTGGACTCACCACATCAAGAGGCTCATCCTGGAAAACCACCATGCCACTATTCCCCAGAAGGTGAGCTGCAGGGTGCCCCTGACTCCCAATGGGGTGCAGGGAGAACGTGTCCCTTTGAGCCAGCTCCGGAGGGCCTGCTGGGGTCCCATCTGCTGGGTGCTGGCTCCACTGGCCAGTGGGGTCAGTACAGCAGATGCCACGGGCCTCGGCGCAGCACTGTGGGGTATCCTGGTACAGCACGAGTGGGTCCTGCGGGCAAGGGAGGCAGAGCACTCAGCAGGATGGTGACAGGGGGGTTTCCTTCCCTTCCAGGCCAAGGAAGCCATCTTGGAAATGGATTCCTATTGTAAGTGTACCCTTTTCTGCTGGTTTTATCCCTAACTGTGCACATTGCTGGGTCAGGCTGTCTCCTGGGGAAGCTTTGCCTGATGGTTTTATTCCAGGAGCAGGGAGGACAGGGCTAGGGGTCAACTGCACAGTTAGGCACATGGTCCTGTAGAGGGGCCCAAAGCTCCCAGGGTGGAAGATGGAGGGAGCTCGGGAGGCTTCTGGCCCCTGGAGCTGCGCAGGTGGCAGAGGTGTGGCCGGGTGCGGGCAGGGTCTAGGCCCAGGGTGACTAGGAGCCCAAAGCCTGATTGTCTCTGTCCTGGGTGCAGATCCCAATCGGTACCGCTACAGCCCAGAGCGGCTGAAGAAGGCGTGGTCCTCCCAGGACGAGGTGTCCACCCACGTGCGCCAGGGGCGCCGGCAATCTGGTAAGGGAAAGGCTGTAGGCCTTTTCTTTGGACCCTCGGCCAGGCCAGGGACCAGCTGCAGCTCTCACCTTCGAGAAACCCTGAGAAGGGGCAGGAGGGGAGGATGGATGAGCGTGTGTGGTATGTCCTCTCCTTGTGCTCGCACCGCCCCCGCCGGGCACCCCGGGCTCTTCTTGTCCCCCATTTCAAAGGCCCTAGGAATAGTTGTTCACGCAGGCCTTGGCACCCCTTCTTAGCAGCTCCCTTTTGGTATAAATCTCCCCGCTTTGGCACTCGGAATACCGAGCCAGCCAGGAGCAACTCGGACATCATGGATGGTCTCCAGCCAGTCCTGGAGCAATGGAGCAGGAGCAGGACGTGGGGAAAATGAGTTAGACTGCAAGTGGCACCAAAACCAGACGGGAAATATTGACTTTGGGTCTCAGGAAAAAGTTCCATTTTTCTCTCCTGGATTTTCTTCCATCAATGGTATTGCTGCCGTGTCCTTGGATTTCTTGGAATGAATTGTCTATTTAAAAAGAGAAAATCTTGCTTTTACTCTTAGCTGTGTGGCAATGAGAGTGTGTGTTTTCTATGTCTGTTTTTTTGCTGCTATTCCATCGTGGCCCAGGATGGGTCTGGCATAAGCGAGATGCCTACCAAGTGTATACCTGCGGTGGGGAGTGAGGTGAGAACTGTCTCAAGACCCGGAGAGAGAACGATTCTAGAGTGACTTAGAGCAGTGTCCTGGCTTGGACTTACAAGGGTACTGGGTTTTGATTGGCCATGACCCACGGGCCCTCGGAACATGTGTGTCGATTGACTTGTGGGCTTTGGCCTTCTGGAAGGTGGAACCAGGTGGTCTCTGGAAAGCCTTTGTGTTTTTGTGTTGTTTGGTGTTGCTCTCGGTGGATCTTGAACCTTAGACAACCTAGCTATAGTTACAAAAGTTTGATGGTTAAAAGCCCCACGTTGGGAATGTTGTTTTCTTAGTCTCTGGCCCTCTTTCTTTCTTTTCCTTTCTTCTCCTGTGATTCTCTCCCTGCCTCCCCTCAACTCGCCATGATATAGAATTGGAAGCTTCGGCGCATGAAAGTATTCAGCAGGTGATAATGTTGGTTGTCCTGATACTAACTCTGTAATAATGTCGGCATCAAAACTTTAGCTACGGATGCACAATTCTGAATATGCTTAAAGCCATTAAATTGTACACTTTAAAAAATGGGTGAGTTGCATGGTCTGTGAATAATATCATAAAGCTATTACCAAAAAAAAAGGTTAGCTATGCCAGGCACCCAGGAAATGAGCCATTTTAGAAAGCCGAAATTTCCACATGGCTGAGATTTTAGCTTGTAAATACTAAAAGAGCTGGCATTTTTAAAATTTGTTCGTTGGTTTTTCTTGTTTGTTTGTTTTACCTCTTAGGAAAAAGACATAAGCATCTCTAAAGCATGTTTTGTACTCTTGAGCTTCTAAAATAAAGGGTACTGACCACAGGTGAACTCTTCCTTTTCTGGAGTCGGTGCGACAGCATCACTTCTGCCGTGTGAGCTGCCAGTGAGGGTGGGGGTTGCCCTAGACACAGCCCGCACGAAAGGCGTCGTTCCTCTGCACAGTTCTGGAACAATGAAAAATGTTCATTCTCATCGGTCTGAGCGTATTTGTTTGTAGCATCCCTTCTTTCCCTTCTGTCTGTTGGAATTCAATTGATTGAACCTGTGGGAACTGTGTGTAACAGTAAGGGGTGGGCAGGGGAGGGGGCGAGAGAAAGGACCTGGGCTATGTGCAGGAAGAGCTTTCGCGCCTGGGCTCCGCTGTCCACCCTCACTGCTCGAGGCCGTCTCTGCTTCCTACTTGCAGAGAGCTGAGGTGGGCAGACAAGTGCACTGTATGGATAAGCAAGGTCTATCATTTATCTTAAATATTCGTTGCTTATTAAATATTCTTGATTACAAGTTTTAAAATGAAAGAATAGGAGCTTTTCTGTTTCCTACTATAAAACAATTAGTTGTTTGCATACATGGATGCAGATAGAGTGTGTGTGTGTTGTGTTAGTGCGTCTCAGGAGAAAGGAAGTTCTTCAATAGACTCTCCTGCCGAGGAACAGCTAAGAGACCTTGATAGACTTTCCTTCTGGCTCCAAGTTCATAGAAATCGTGGCCCTCCCTGGCCTCCCACTGAACACCAGCTGGGCGAAGATAGGGATGGGCTAAGGCCAAGGCTCTGGAGAGAGCGGTACCTTGAGACAACATCCTCTCACTTCTCCCCTCCGTTCTCAGTGTGTCCCCAGAAAGGCTGGGTTACAAGGGGATGATGGCACCTTCAGCCTAATGGGTGTGTTTTGTATCCTGTCCCCAGAGCCTGGTCACTCCCCGTACAGCTGGGCAACGCTCCCCAGCAAGCAGCGAGGCTTCCTGATGCCAGGCCTTAAGGGCCGTAGGAAGTCGGGTGCGACCTCTGCTTTCCAGCTGGGGTGCTGGCAGGGGGCTTGGCGGTGGGTGCGGCTAATGTGCTGATGTGCTTATTGCAAGGGAGGTGGGGGCTTGAGGTAGAAGCAGAGATGTGGCTGGTTGTCTGAAGGGGCAGCATGGGGCTCAGTCCCCTTGAAGAGGCTCCTGCACCGTGGGCCTTGGGTGGGGTGCGCTAATGCAGGGACCCTGGGCAGTGCTGCTCCTGTGGGGCTGGCGGTCACAGCGAGGGTCCCTGGAGCTGGATGGGCCCTGCCTACCTGGTGAGTGGCATGAGGGCGCTCACTGACACTGTGGAGGGCAGCCTCCCTGAGGCCCGAGGGCTGCTGGGGCCAGGCCAGTGTGGACTTTGAGCTCGTGCTGGGCTGGTGGCGCTGTGAGCTTGGGAGGGCCAGGCCAGCTGTCTCCTGGCCTGGGCTGACCGCCCATTCGCTTTCCTCCTCAGAGCCGACCAAACATCTGCTCAGGCAAGCGAACGAGAAAGGTGAGTGTGCGAGGGGTGCGCAGCAATCCCATTGAGCTGGGGGAGGAGGGCGAAGCAGGTACCCACCTGGGGAGGGGTTTGCCGCAAACAGTTCAGAGGGGACTTTGCCCCTATTTGCTGTCTGAGGGGCGCTGGAGCTCTCCCCACGGGCGTGCCTTGCCCCCCTTCCCCTCTCCTCAGTAACAGCAGGAGCCAAGCGACAGGGCACAGACTTGCTCTGCGTCCCCGGGCTTCTGTTCCATCATTCGTTCCTTTGAAAGCCCAGGAGACTGGGTGAGGGCTCTGGGAGCAGGAGCCCCCATCGCAGCCTTCCCCTTTGGCCTCTGTACAGAGGCTCTTTCTCCTGCTCATTGACCTCTTCCCCTCCCCTGCCCCTTGCTCGTGTGCTGGGGACCTGGTGGCGGTGTCAGCAGCCAGCGAAGCAGGAATGAAGGTGAGGCCGGTGGGCATCGGGGGCCAGGGAGGGGACGGGGTGGGACTACCCAGCTCAGCCCCTGGCCCTGCAGCCCTCCTTGTCCTCATTGACTCAACACATACCTGTCAAGCACCCACCATGTGCCAGGCCAGGCTCTGTGGCACAAGGGTCATGGAGATGAGTAAGACATGGCCCTTGCCCTGGGGTCCCTTCTGCCCCTGTGGGTGGCTGCGCAGCCTGGATTCTCTTACATTTCCTTCTCGCTGGGCAGGCAGGCTTCTTTGGGTTCTGAGTTCTTGAGCAGGTCCCAGCCTTCCCGCTCCTGCCCGGACCCCAGTGGAGACCCGGGGTTGGGCGCGTAGATGTGGCTGTCTGTGCGAGGCCTCCCCACCCCCAACTGCCCGCAGGCGGAGGGGACATTGCCCAAGAGGCTGGTCACGAGGGGGTCTTGTGCTCTGAACAGCATGCAGGCAGCGCTGGCACCCTCCTGGACTTTGGGCAGCCCCCCCGTGTGCGGGGCCTGCAGCTGGCGGCTGAGGGGGCTGCTCAGGAGGGGCAGGAGGAAGAGGAGGAGGTGGTCGAGGAGGAGGAGGAGGAGGAAGACCAGGCCTTTCAGGTTTCTGTGGAGGACCTGGCAGGGCATGAAGGCAGCGAGAAGGGGACTGGGCCAGAGCCCCCAGGCTCGGAGGAGGAGGAGGAGGAGAGCCTGGCAGTGGCGGAGCAGGTAGCCGACTTTGCCAGCTCCCTGCTGGCCGCCCTCCACTGCTGGCACTATCGGGCCAACGCTTTACTTTTCTCCCGGGGCGCTATGGTGAGGTGTCTCTCTGATCTACCCTCCTCCTTGCATGTTCCGTGGCACGTGCATGCCCCTCAAGAGTCCCCTCCGCTTCCCTCCCACCCGCCCTGGCTCCTTTACGCCTGCCCTCAGCACCTTTTAACCCCTCGCTCGCTGTCACACCCTGGTGAGCCCCAGGCATGTGCTGTTCCAGTCTCAGACGCTAACCAGTGTAACACCCAGGGGCATGACAAATGGGGTGGGCTGGTGGGGAAAGGGAGAGGCTGGCACACCTGGCCTCAAAGGGAAGGTGAGCTGGGCTGTTCTGAAGCCTCATGCCTGGCAAGAATTTCTATGGCCCCAGGCCTAGCAGTTCCAGTTGGCTCTGGACTGGCTCAGGGCAGCCCAGCCCCCTGGAGGGCATGGGAGGTGCTGCCCATGTTGGGATACAGAAGGGACCAGCTCCCAATTGTCTTGGAATTGACAACTGACCTCTGCTTCCTGCAGGGGAAGGGGCGCAGGGAGTCTGAAAGCCCCAAGAGCTGCAGAAGGCCCAGTGGCCGGTCCCCAACCAGTGCTGAGAAGCGCATGAGCTTCGAGTCCATCTCTTCCCTGCCAGAGGTGAGCGGCCAGCGGGTGGGATGGGGATAGTACAGATGTACCTGGAGCCCGGATCCCCAGGTCTGCAGGTGCAGCTTTGAGGCCTGGGCTGTCTGGTTGGGCCAATGGGAACAGAGATTCCCCAACCCCTAGGACTCTTGCCCCTTCAGGAAGCCTGTTCAGGGTGCATGGTTTGATGAGCAGACTCCCCCTTCCTATGAATCAGAAAAAAAACGATGCTCCTTCCTTTGGGCAGATGCAGTCCTGTGCGAAGGGGCACAGCGAGTGGAAATGAGTCAGCTTTTAACCCCCTTGGCTAGCCACCTTGTTAGGGCACCGGGCCCTGCCCCTGCCAGCGTGCCAGACATTTAAATCACAACAGGGCGAAGGGATAGGGTATTGGTTTCTGTTGGATACCTCCTACGTGACTGATGTTTTCTCCTCTTCCTTCTGTTCCCCATAAGAGTTCTAGAAGGAAAGTGGCTCTGAGAGGCTGATAATGTGCCTGACCCTGGGTAGCTTCTGAGATCAAACTTGGGTCTCTGACTCAGGCCCACTCCACTCATCCCACCACCTCATGCTGTCTGCAGCTCGTGTGGAGCTCTGAGTCCTTTGCTTTCCCAAAATTATAAGGGAAAGGTCATGAGCTAAGACTTAGACCCTTGTTGGGCCTCGCAGCCAGGACTGGGATGCCCAGTTAACATGGGATAGGAATGTAGCATGGCATCTTAGTTGGTTCAGGCTGCTATAAAAAAATACCTTAGGCTGGGTAGCTTGTAATCAACAGACATTTATTGTTCAGTGTTCTGGAGGCTGGGAGTTCTCAGATCAACATGCCGGCAGGTTTGGTGTCTGGTGAGGGCTTGCTCTCTGCTTCGTAGATGACACCTCCTTGTTGTGTCCTCACATGGGGGAGGCAAGTAAGCTCCCTTGAGCCTCTTTGACGAGGACACTGAGCCCATTTGTGAGGAGGCTGAGTCCCGGTCACTACGCCAACACTCGGAGGCCAGGTCTGCACTCCAGAAGCCCTTTTGATGCCCTCTGCTCCAGCCCTTCCTGGCGAGCAGAGACCTTTGGGGGAAACTGGCCATTGGCCCCTTTACCAGGACGGGGCAGAAGTTGTCATCTCAGTGGCTGGTGGCTACTATGTTGGGCGGTACAGGTTATGAGTCCCACTCTGAAGATTCTGGACTAGAACAAATGCAATCAGATCCGATTCCTCAGAATTTAGCATTTGCTCTTGTCTTCTCCCTAAAGACCTCTCTGGAAAGCTGCCTGTCCCTGCCAGTTTTGTGGTTCAAATTGCCTCCAAGGTGGTCAAGAGGGAATTCTCAAGTTTACGTCCTTCCTTGCCCTTTTGCTGGCCATACGCATTCGTGCTGGGCCTGCAGGTACTGAGGCTGGCTGGGAGGAGTCACATTCCTGGTCCTCACCCTCTGACGGGACCCCAGCATGTGGCCGTGATGCCCTCTGGACCCTGATCCACATGGAGGGCCCTGGCCCCTCAGAGAAATTGGAATGGCCTCTTGTGTTGCTCAGGCCTGGGTTTACACCCCAGAAGCCCCAAGTGGGGGGCTTCTGGGGCTTTAGGAAGCTGCCTTCCCATCAGATGGGAGCAGGCCACTGGGTGTCTGAACCAGCATTGTGTGTCCCCACCATGGCCCTGTGGTTCCCAGGCAGGCTGCCCCTGAGGTGTTGCCACCCTATGCCATCTGCGTTCCTAGCATTTTCCTTGGGTTTGAGGGCATGGGCCCAGGACCCCAGCTGCAGGATGACTAAAGGACATAATCATCTTCCTCTCCCTAAGGACCCCTCACCCCACTTTTGGGTCATGCTCATTCTGGTTGCCTTGAGTCCTAAACTACAGGCCCCCCTGCCCCTGGCTTTGTGTAGGCTGTGCTCTCCCTTCAGCCCCCAGGTCTCATGAGGAGGTTTTTCCCTTATGTGAGCTGTCTCCACGATGTTCCAGGTTGAGCCAGACACCGAGCCTGGGACCGAGCAGGAGGTGTTTGCTACCGTGGAAGGTGCCAGCGCCGAGGAGATGCCTTCAGACACAGAATCTCCAGAAGTGCTGGAGACACAGGTTGACGTCCACCAGGGGCTGCTGGGGATGGACCACCCGGGTGACATGGTGGACTTCATGGTGGCTGAGAGCACTGAGGACCTTAAGGCCCTGAGCAGTGAGGAGGAGGAAGAAATGGGGGCCGCCCAGGAGCCCGAGAGCCTCCTGCCACCCTCTGTGTTAGACCAGGCCAGTGTCATTGCTGAGAGATTTGTCAGCAGCTTTTCCCGGCGGAGCAGCCTGGCGCTGGAGGACGGCAAGTCCAGTGGGTTTGGGACCCCACGGCTGGTCAGCCGCAGCAGCAGTGTGCTCAGCCTGGAGGGCAGTGAGAAGGGCCTGGCCCGGCGTGGCAGCGCCTCTGACTCCCTCAGCTGTCAGCTCCCCTCGGAAGTGGATGTCAGTGTCGGGGTGGCTACAGAGGACAGCTCTTCTGTCAATGGGACAGAGCCCCCAAACCCAGGCTGCGCTCTGGAGCCTGACAGGTCTTCCTATAAGAAGAAGGAATCCATGCTCTCCACCCGAGATCGGCTGTTGCTGGACAAAATTAAGAGCTATTATGAAAATGCAGAACACCACGATGCGGGCTTTAGTGTCCGGCGCCGGGAGAGCCTCTCCTACATCCCCAAAGGACTGGTGAGAAACTCGGTCTCCAGGTTCAATAGCCTTCCCAGGCCAGACCCGGAGCCGGTGGCCCCAGTGGGGCACAAGAGACAAGTGGGCTCCCGGCCAGCTTCGTGGGCTCTGTTTGATCTCCCAGGACCAAGCCAGGCAGGCGCGGCGGATCCGCCTCCTATCACAGATGCTGAGTTTCGCCCATCTTCCGAAATTGTGAAGATCTGGGAGGGGATGGAGTCTTCCGGGGGGAGCCCTCGGAAGGGGCCGGGCCATGGCCAGGCCAATGGCTTTGACCTGCATGAGCCTCTCCTCATCCTGGAGGAGCACGAGCTGGGAGCCATCACCGAGGAGTCGGCCACTGCCTCTCCGGAAAGCGCCTCGCCCACCGGGCGTCCCAGCCCAGCCCACCTGGCCCGGGAGCTGAAAGAGCTGGTGAAGGAGCTGAGCAACGGCACCCAGGGGGAGCTGGTGGCGCCCCTGCACCCCCGCATCGTGCAGCTCTCCCACGTGATGGACAGCCACGTGAGCGAGCGTGTCAAGAACAAGGTCTACCAGCTGGCCCGCCAGTACAGCCTCCGCATCAAGAGCAACAAGTCGGCCAGGCCACCACTGCCATGGGAAAAGGCAGCTCCCGAGAGGGATGGGAAGAGAGCCACTGTTCCCTGCCTACAGGAGGAGGCTTGGGAGTCATCGAGTGGCAAAGGTATGACGGGAGTGGGGAGTGGGCCCTTCTCGCAAGTCTTGGCGCTAAAGAGCCAATGAGGAGCCAGTTGGCTCCTAGGGGAAAATGGCCTCTAGAAGCCTCTAGCAGAGAGAGGAGCTGGACCCTGAGAACTGGGGGCATAGGGTGAGCCCCGGCCACCGGGCCAACACTTGGAGGCCAGGTCTGTACTCCTAGGAGCCCTTTTGATGCCCTCTGCTCCAGCCCTTCCTGGCAAGCAGAGACCTTTGCGGGAAACTGGCCATGGGCCCCTTCTTTACCAGGATGGGCAGAAGCTCTCATCTCTTCCTTTGACTCCTGGTCCCCTTCCGCTGCCTCCTCCTTCCCACTGCCCTTTGATAGAGGGGCTATAGGCGGTAAATGAGATTCCTCTCCCATCACACCCCAGACCCCAACAACCAGCCTTGCCTGGAAGTGAGGTGGTGATGGCTCAGAGCCCTCCCTCGCAGCTCTCTTGTCCTGCCCAGGGATTCAGGCAGCCTCTTCTCTCCTCGCAGGTAAGAGAAAGCCAGTGCTGTCCCTCCTTGACTATGACCCTCTGGTGGTCCAGGAGCATAGCCCCCCCAAGTCCTCCTCTGCTGGGCAGACGGCACCACGGCGTTTCTCCTTCAGCCCTTCAGCTGCCAGCCCAAGGACCACCTCGCCTGGGGCCCGGCCCTCCCGAAGCCCCCGAAGCCCCTTCGACACTGAGACCTTCAATTGGCCCGATGTCCGAGAGCTCTGCTCCAAGTATGCCTCCCACGATGAGGCTCTCCGGGCCGAGGGCAGCCAGCCCCGTGGTGGCCCACCCGTCAACCGGAGCCGCTCATTGCCCGAGAACATGGTGGAGCCGCCTCGGTCTGGCAGGGTGGACCGCTCCTGCAGCCTGAACACCAAGAGGGGCAAGGGAGGCGGAGAGGCTGCCCAGCCCCAGGTCCCCCGGTCTCCACCCCAAATCGGGACGGATGGAAGTGAGGCCTTGTTTGTCACTGCAGACCTCACCCTGGATGACAACCGGCGGGTGATTATCATGGAGAAGGGGCCCCTTCCTGGCCCCACTGCAGGGCTGGAGGAGGAGGGTAGGGGGCAGGGACCAAGCTCGCCAGTGGCCCTGGTGGGGCAGGGCCAGGATTTCCAGGAGTCTGTAGAGTGCCGGCCGAAGGAAGAGGGCTCCAGAGACCCAACAGACCCAAGCCAGCAGGGCAGAGTGAGAAACCTGAGAGAGAAATTCCAGGCCTTGAACTCTGTGGGTTGACTCTGACTCCTGGGGGAAGGAGTTGTGTTGGAGGTTGGGAAGAGCCTTGGGTCACAGGAGCCCTTCCCAGGGCTGGCGGAAGGCTGTCCCCTCTGCTGTCCTGGAAGAACGCTCCCATGCACAGTGGACTCATTGCTGCCTGTGCTGTGTGCTGGTGCTTGTGACAGCTTTCCACAGGCCCAGATGAGCCACTCTTCCCTCTGAGGCCGATGCGCCACTTTCCTTGTAAATAGTCCTTCTCTGGTAAGAAGCCAAATATTTAAGCTCACCTCTTCCCAGGAAGAGCAAGCTCTGCTCAGGCCACTGCCAGCCCGAGGAGCCCACCCCAGGGAGACTTGGGAAGGGGCCTGGGGGCCTTTGCTCTTTAACTGTGCCTTTCCTTAGGATCCAGGCAGGAATGAAGCCAATAATTTATTGCTTTCCATTCTGTGGTGTGTGTGTGTGCACATGTGAGTGTGTGTCCTGCTGTTGTTTATGCCCCTCCTGTGAGGAATGTAACAGATTCAGTTCAGGTACTCTGAGAGTTATCTCACTGACCCTGTGGTTGTCACCGATGTACACACATTTCATTATTTGCCAATGGTGCAATAACCGCTGCTGACCAACCGACCTGCGTGTGGCCTCCTTACTGGGCCCAGAGGGGTGGGGAGGGTTGTTAGTGGGCCAGGGATGTCTTAGGGAGACAGGGACACGGTGGGCGGGGGGCGGTTGTTCCTTCCATGCCCATTCATCGCCCAGGCTCACGACAGTCCAGGCTCGCGACTCCAGGCTCGCGACTCGTAAGGCTCCAGGGTGTTGGCAGGGGAGGCGGGGTGTTGGGGGCGGGGCTTGCTCTCCTGCTCCCGTGGGTTTCTCTGTCCACCCACAGCTAGCGGTCCTGTCTGGGGTGGGGACCCCGCATGCCAGCCTTTAGCTTTTTCCTGCAAGAGGCCAAAGTTGGACTAAAAAAAGGGGGTGGGGAGGTGAATGGAACATTTTTCTAAGGAGCAGACATTTCCGATGTCTGGTGCCTTTTGCTCTCCTCTCCCTCTCCAGTTCCCATGAGACATCCGGGAAGGCAAGGATTCTAAACTTGGAGTCTAGAAATATCTCAAGTGGCTTGCAGCATTGGGCGAGGAGTGCAAGTACACTTTTCTAGGATGGGTCCTCTATTTTTATTGCATTGTTAAAAATGTTTTTGATTCAAAAGAGCTGGGAATGTCTCCTGGTTTCAGTTGGGTTTTCTGCCCTCTCTCCATGGAGGACCGGCCTTGTTTTGCCTGGTTGGTTCTGGGAGGAGGGGGGCTGCAGGGCCCAGGTGGTAGAGCTGTCTGACGAGTGTTCCAACAGGTCTGTGGGGTCAGGATCCCTTGGGACTTCTGACCTAGGAACACGGCTCAACCTGCAGATGGGCCTGCAGAGTCTAGCAAGATCAGAGGTAAGAGTTGGCCTCTTTGGAGCGGCAGCAGCACGGGGTAGTGATGCTGTGTTCTGCCACCTGCCCTGAATCTTCCGTGGTCACTTCCACAGTCACTGAGAACTGGCTCCTCCCAGGCTAGTCTCAGGATGTGACGCTGAGTGGCCACAGTGTATTGGATGGTGTGAGAGTCAGGCAACCCAGGTTCTCATCCCAGCCTTGCCATTAGCTGGCTGGGTCACCTACACTCCTTTTTTCTCATCTATATGTTGAAAGATGGATGAGTCGGGACTCTTAGTTGTAGCTAACCCCTTCCCCAGGAGGCCCTTACACAGCCATCCAGGTGTGTCTGGGAACCTGGGACCAGGGCAGTGGTTCTCACTGGCTGCCCATTAGAATAACCTGGGGAGCCTTCTGAGGACTGGCAGTGCCTGCGTCCATCCCCCCAGACCCCGTGAAACTGCCCCCGGAGATGAATCCAGGCAGAGATTCTGGCGATTGTGCCATCCAACGGGTGCTGAGATCTGCCCTGAGCTCCGTGGGGAAAGGCCTGGACCGAACTTTGCTTAGAAAGGATTTTGCCCCGCGGTAGGCCTGCAAGTTGATGAAATGTGCAAGTGAGCAAGCTTTTCCCAGGGTGAGGCACAGGACCTGGGTGCGGCAGAGTCATCCCTCAAGACTCCCAGGGACAAACTAGAGAGTCTGGCTGTCCCTCTGTCCCCATGGTGCCAGCCTTATTAAGCCCAGTTCAAAGGGAAATGAGGCTAGTCAAATAAGAAACTGAGAAAAATATGGAGCATTATTGATTTATTAGAAAAACTAGTAAATGGGTTTCCTCTGGTTGGTGGAAGCACAGTTGAGCAGGTGGAGGACATGGCCCAGCCGGCCCCAGGGCCAGCCCAGATTGCATGGTCTGTGCCCAACTGGGTTGCTTTCCTCTGCAGCCACCTCCTCCTTGTGTCCTTCCTGAGCTTGCTTGTCCAAGGGACCAAGCTGTGTGGTCCTCTGGCCTCTTCCTCCTCTGGATTTCTGTCCCTTCCCACTGAGGGAGGAAGGGGAGCCAGGACCAGCCTAGGGGACCCTGGCTGGCCCCGATAGGCGGGAAGAGGGTGGTGAGGAGGGGAAGCTGAGTTTTGCACAGGCCTCCCATGTGGGTGCCAGTTGGAGGTGTGTTGGGGGAAGCCCAAGGACCTCCATACCTTAGTTGAGGCCCAGGGATGCAGGGGAAGGAGAAGGGGAGGAGGACTGCCTGACCGTTCCCAGAAGGAGCTTCCTCTGAACTGCCCTGGGGAGGAAATCTGTTATGCTGGTGTGGACTAGAGCTGTGTCAACCTCATTTGGGAGTACCGTCAAGATAAGACTGCAAATATGTAAGAACAAAAAAGAAACCTTGCCAGGGCACCAGCAGAACTTAGCCCTGGTGTGGCACGGGGTCTCCCAAAGCTGGGTACCTGCAGTCTCAGTCCAGTTGGTCAAGGGTCTTGGGGCCTGGGTGATGTGGGAGGGGTGCGTGGGGAGCTGGCAAGAGATGGTGGGTCACATGCAGCTGGCTGCCCTTGCCCCATCCAGGGAACCTGGGGTGGTGGAATCCTAGCTCTTCCATTGGAGCCCTTTCTTTCTTAGGTCTGCGGAGTTGCTTGCTGGAACTTTCTTTAAGTGCTACCTAGGCACATGCTGGGGGGAGAAGGTGGGCTCTTGTCCCTTGGCTCCCTAAGGACTGGCCCAGGGAAACAGTTGAAGGAGGTGCTTGTCACCATGTACCCTTCAGCAAAGAACCTGCTCTCTGCCCCAGAGAAGGACATGCCCTTGAATGCACCAAAGGCCTCCTTTATTGCTGGGTGAGTGTGAAGAAAGAGACTGGTGAGCCGATACACACTAGGTTCCCCGTAGAAGCAGAGCACTATAGGGTCATATGTGTTGAGGCCAAATGAAGACCCTGGCTACAGAGGTGGGAACGTCTGACCTGGGGACGTCAGGCTGCATCGGATAACTCTTCCCTCTTGTGGTGCCTGTCTGTGGAAGTTGGCCTCACCCTGATGTGTCAGGGCCACAGGGTGGACTGGATCTCTGCACTGTGCCCGCACCGGTCAGTGCTAAGCATTTCTGGGAAGGCCTCGTGATTCTGGACGCCTGACCCTGGGGCTTCTACCTGAGCCTCACCCTCTTCATTTCCACGTATCTAAGGCTCCTTCCCCTGGGGAAGGTGGTAGAAACAGTTACTGCAGGTGCTGGGGACCATTATTGTCTCCCTGTGGGGAAACACCTTTTGCCCCCAACTTGACCCCTCTTTTGGACCTAACCCCTGTTAAGATGCTGGGCTGGAAGTGTGTTGCTTTCAGAGTAGAGTGGCAGGGAAGATCCTTGTGGAATGAATGGTTTCTCTCCAGAAGTCTGACCTTGGCAGCACAGGGAAGGCCATCCCCAGGGATGTAGATTGCAGAGCCCCTTCTACTGTTTGCGGATGGAGGGCGGTAGATGTTTGACCTCTGTACTCATGTGACCTCCAAGACCCAAAGCCAGGACCTTCAGGAGAAGCCAGCTTATGTCGCATGGATGGTAATACCTAGGTGTGGCCACATTTGCCACCCTGAGGCAGTAGGGGATCAATTTTGCTGCCTGTCCAGTCAATACCCTGTGATGGTACCAGCTGCAGACGGGACACAATTGGGCGTTTGGTTCTGGATGCTTCAGTCCAGGTGCTGGGCTGTGCATCTTGTGTCCTGGGGGTCTACACTGTCTCCCTAAGGGGCCCTATGTCTGTCGGGTATTGCTGGTTTGGCTGCTACTGAGAGTGAGGGGAGCGTCCCAACATGGAGAGGCAGAGCCTCAGGCAGTGTGAGACCTACCTGTCACCCCTCGGGTCTGAGCCCTGAGCTCTAACGGGTTAGATGGTTTAGAGGAGGATGGTTTGAACTTCCCCAGCCTCCCTTCACCTCCGTGGTGGGAGCAAAGGGTGCTGGAGGTGGCAGGAGGCACCTTCACTCAGGACCCACCAACCTTGCAGGGTACTCTTTTTTACGGTGGGAGGAGGAGAGGGGAAGGGATGTGGTGGCCCCTGAGGTGAGAGGCCCAGTTCTGAGGAAGCCTAGTGCAGAGGAGGCTGGCGGCACCCAGGGCCCCGCATGCGGTCTTGTCCCCTCAGTCCCCCAGCAGCCCCTTGTGGCCCACCTGAAGGTTCCTTCCTTATGTCCCTGGGGGCAGGCCAGGTGCTTCCAGTGTCCTCTTCCCTTTCTCTTTCCTTGGTGGTGACCAGGTGGGAGGTGACCCCAAGCAAAGACTTGTTTTGGGGATGGGCAGCGTTTGAGGAACCTCTCAGCCACCTTCTCCAGCTTTTATGGGGGGTAGAGGACCGGGGGGCCCCCAGCTCGAGAGGAGGGCGTGTGCCTCAGAGAACCGTTTCCTGCCCCCAGGCCCGGAGGCCACCGAGGAGCCAGAGCCCTGACTGCGGGGCACCCGGTAGGCGGGCGAAGGCAGCTCTTGCAGTGCAGCAGGCGACTTGGCCCGGAGCTGGCGGGTGGCAGGCAGGAGGAGGACCCCCCCGCAGGGGCCACCAGGAGCTACTTCTTTTTGGGGAAGAAGCTGAATCTCTTCTCCTTGTCCTTCTTGCCAAGGCTGGTGTCCGGGCCGGAGAGGGAGGGCAGGGGCAGGCTCTGCGCCTTGACGCGGATGCTCTGGGACTCGTTGATGGCGGTGCTCACACCCTGCAGCCAGGACAGCATCTCCTCCTGCGGGGCGGGAGGTCAGCGCCCAGTCCGGGAGGCGCCACAGCACCCACACTCCCGCCCCGACAACAAAGGCTGCCCCTAGAACTGCCCATTTGGAGGGATCCTTGAGAGCAAGTGGCTGGGGTCTCCACCTGACCCTTTGCTACATGTCTGGGCTAGGCTGCCCCACCCCCTACTCCCGCTTACCTCGTCCTTGCCATGGAAGAGCCACTCGCTGCCATTACTCAGCCTAGGAGGACAAAAGGTTTCTTGTCATGTGGCTACCTCTGGGGGCCTGGGCAGAGGGCTGGCTCTGATCCCACAGTCCCCTGAGCCTAATATCCAGAACCCTCCCAGGAGAGGACAGCACCTTCTGAGAGGCAAAAGTCTGAACCATCAGCCTCTTTGATTTGAAAAATCCCTGAGGAGCAGCAGGTCCTGGAGCTGGTCCCATGCTATGGGCCTCTCCCTGGCCTTATACTAAGGCC